ACAGAGAAATGACAGAGATTATGAAATTAGAAGACGAGGACTTTTAAAGTAACTGTCATAAACATGCCCAAGCTGCTCAAGGATTTAAAGGAAAGCATAGGAAGAGATATTGAAGAAATCTGTAAACTCCAACAAAGTTTACAGCTATGAAAAATACCACATCCAAAAGGAAAACTGTGCTTCACGAGACTATCAGTACAGAACATTGCATGAATTTAATGAATAAGCTTGAAGAAATTATCCAATTGAAGCATCAGAAAAAAGACCCAAATAAACTGAACAGAGCCTCAGAACCTTGAGTCCAATATCAATGTACCTAGCATATGAATATCAGAAGGGAAGAAGAGAGGGTGAAAAACAGTATTTGAAGCAATAATGGTTGAAATGTTTCAAATTTATTGCAAGTTACAAACATAATTTATAGATTATGAATCCATAGGTTAAAAAACCAATCAGGAATAACAAATGCACAGTGATATGTACCCACCATTATAGCACCACACAAAGCATCATCACACCCTAAAAATCCTCCGTTCTCTGCAAAATCATGCCTCCCTCCCCCCAGCCCTTGGCAACGACTGATATCTTGTTGTCTCCATAGTTTTGCCTTTTCCAATGTGTCATGTCGTTGGAATCATAGAGGATGTAGCCTATTCAGATTCGCTTCTTTCACTCAGTAATATTCATTTGTTTCCTGTATGTCTTTTCATGGCTTGATAGCTCATTTCTTTTTAGTGTTATTAACATTTATTTATGCACTCACCTACTGAAGGACATCTTGGTTGCTTCCAGTTTTTGGCAATGATGAGTGAAACTGCAATAAACATCTATGTGCAGGTTTTTATGTGAACATACATTTTTGACTCCTTTGTGTACATACCAAGGAGTGCAATTTCTAGATCATGTGGTAAGAGTACTGCAAATTTTAGCTTTGCAAGGAAACACTGAACTCCTTCCAAAGCAGCTGCTGCCTTTTGTATTCCTGAAACAATGAATGAGTTTCCGTTGCTCCACATCCTCAGCCGTGTTTGATGTTGTCAGTGTTCCAGATTTGGGCCATTCTAGTAGGTGTGTAGTGGCATCTCATTATTTGAATTTGCATTTCCCTGGACAATCTTTTCATATGTTTATTTGCCAGCTGTATATATTCTTTGATGAGATGTCTGTTAAGGTCTTTGGCCCAGTTTTTAATCAGTTCGTTTATTTTCTTGTTAAGTTTTAGGAGTTCATTTTGTATTTTGGAGAACAGTCTTTTATCAGATATATCCTTTGCAAATCTTTCATCTAGTCTGTGGTTTGTCTTGACATTGTCTTTTGGAGAATGGAAGTTCTTAACTTTAATGAAACCCAGCTTATCAATTATTTCTTTCATGTATCATGACTTTGGTGTTGTATCTAAAAAGTTATTTCATATCTAAGGTCATCGAGGTTTCCTCCTATTTTGTGTTCTAGGAGTTTTATAGTTTTGTGTTTCACATTTAAATTCAAGGTCTGTGGTCCCTGTTGAGTTAATTTTTGTGAAGAGTTTAAGGTCTGCGCCCAGATTCATTCCTCGGCATGTGGATGTCTAGCAGCTCCAGCACCATTTGTTGAAAAGACTATCTTTGGTCCATTGTGCTGTTTGTTCCTTTGTCAAAGATTGGTTGACTATATTTATGGGATTCTGTTTATGGGACTTTTATTGTGTTCCATTGATCAATGTGTCTGTTCTTTTGCCAACACCGCACTGTCTTGATTCCTGCAGATTTATAGTGAGTCTTACAGTTGTGTTGGTGTCAGTCCTCCGACTTTGTTCTTTTCCATGGATGTTGTGTCAGCTCTTCTGGGTCTTTCGCCCCTCCTTATAAACGTTAGAATGTTTGTCATTATCCACAAAATAACTAGCTGGGATTTTGACTGGGATTGCATTGAATCTGCAGATCAAGTCAGGAAGAGCTGATATCCTGATAATGTTAAGTCTTTCTATCCATGAACACAGAACGTCCATCCACATAGTCAGGTCTTTAATTTCTCTCATCAGAGTTTTGTACTTTTCCTCATATAGATCTTATACATATTCTGTTAGATTTATACCTAAGTATTTCATTTTGGGGGGTGCTAACATAAATGCTATTGTGTTTTTAAATTCCAGATTCAACTTGTTCACTGCTGATATGTGGGAAAGCAATTGGCTTTTGTATATTAATTTGCATCCTGCCACTTTCCTATGATCCCTTGGCTCCAGAAGGTTTTTGTCAATTCTTTGGATTTCCCAGATAGACAATCGTATCATCTGTGAACAAAGACATGTGTCTCTCTTCCTTCCCAATCTATGTCACTTGTATGTCCTCTGTTGTTGTTATTTGTGTATGTATTTCATTAGCTCAGGCTTCCAGCGTGCTGCTGACAAGGAGTGCTGAGACGATGGGACATCCTGGCCTTGTTCCTGATTTTAGTGGCAAAGCTTCTTGTTTCCTACCATTAAGTATGATGTTAGCTGCAGGTTTTTATTCTTTATTAAGTTAAGGAAATTCCCCTCTGTTCCTAGTTTACTGAGAGTTTTTACCATGGATGCATGTTGGATTTTGTCAAATGCTTTTTTGCCTCTATTGATAATGATCATGTGATTTTTTTTTTCAGGCTGTAATGTGATGGAATACATTAATCAATTTTTTAGTGTTTTCATTCAATTTTGCAATCCAATCAGTTATTTTCTGCTCATCTCTAATTCTTAATGCTGAAAATCTACCTCTAGTCCTATATTAGGACTTCCCATTTGCAATTCTTAATCTTGATCTATCTTCTGATAGCCTAGTGGAATTTCGGGATAACTCTTTCAGGAATGAGATTCAGTGATGCCTGACCGTGCCTTGCCTTCCTGAGAACTGGTTTATAGTTGCTTTCCTGCACAAAGTTTATGAGGCACAGCCTGTTGGTTCTGATACTTGAAGGCGTGTGTCTGGCTCTAACAGCTGAGCGGGGAGCATACGTTGTGTTGTCAGGCTTCTAAAGGCACCACAGGACCTGGTGTGTTCTATGGGTTTTCTGCTGGTTGGCCGGTTGGACAGTACTGATGTAGGACTTGCAGTCCCTCCCAACCTTGCTGCCCTTAGGCCCACTCAGGAACTAGCCTCGTGCCTCCAGGGTGAGCCCATTGCTCTCTGAGCTGGAGACACCACCTGCCGGTCCTTCCTCCCTGTACAACACTGGGCTGTGTGGTAGGTGTCGTCTCATTCTAGCTGAAGTGGGAAGAAGGGATAAGTGTAGACAAGCCGGGTGGTGACTTGCCTACTCATTCAGTCACCCTGCTTAGAGCTCACAGTGGGCATAGGGCAGCGGGTCTGGGTCATAACCCACCTTGCGTCCCTCCATTGGAATGTGACGCTCACTGCAGAGGGCAGAGAAGGCATCATCTGAGGCCAAGCTGCTCAGCCCCCTGCCCCATGATAGGCTTTATCAACAGCTGTTTCTGGAGAGTTCTAGTGTTCATTGGCTTTCTCTATTTTATCTGCTGGTCTTATTTATTGAGGGGATGAGGGGGTGAGAGGACCATTGATTGGTAACTTGGAAGTGTTTCTGTTTTCTTTTTACTTAGAAACGTTTGCAAGGTGGCTGGCTGGCTATGATGGAATCTGCAGAGAGCTTACTCTCTCCTCAGATTTGCCTCAGGGCTGAAATGGCCTTGGGTGGCTCACCTCGCTCACATTTTGTTGAGGAGATTGAGGCCAAATCACCAAGGAATCTTGCCCAATCACAACCCCTAAATTTTCAGACCAAACCCCAGATCCCTTTTTTCAGGATTCTTTCTCTTTGCAATACCACCCACTCCAAACAATGTGAATTATTTTTGCCATTTAGGTTTGGTATAGCATCTAAGAAAAAACTTCCTTCCTAAAGGGATTAAGATTCCAAATGTTTGGAAATATGTAGCAACTTGGCATCTTGTGCACATAAGGGCCACCTCCGGGCTGCTGGCTGGCTGGGCCAGATGTGCAAGGATGCCCGGCGGGCCTCCTGGCGGCAGCATCTGCACGCCCGCCGTGGGACTCCGGCCAGAGCCCTCCCCTCTGCTTTTGTTCACACGCAGGGACCTGGAGGATGGCGGCAGGCAGCCCAGGCAAACATCAAGAAAAGATGCTTAATTTCTTAATGCCAAGTAGAAAGGGAAAACATTGCTTGCCTAGAAAATTCAATCTATCTTGCAATTAGGTTTCTGATACTTCTAGTGTTTGTCTAGTTTTATTAAATTTTAAACATGATTGAGCCAAACCCACGCAGATCAGCTATTCAGAATCGGAGCTATGGAAATGGGGGCCTGGCTCTTGCACATTTCCAGGAACTGAAGAGTTTCAAAGCCTCAGAACCAATATACTGCAAAAAAGAAAAAGTAGACATGGGTCCAAGTCAGTTTGTAATTGTTTAGGAGAAGCAACTTCTCAGAAAATTTTGAGGCTACTGGGGAAATGCTTTGTGTGCACGTGCTGGGGGTAGGGATGTAGGAATTTAAAAAGTGTAGTGATGTATGTGTGACAATGAATGATCGAGAATCTCTTCATCGGCCTAAGAATATTGAAAGGTATACAACTGAATTTGCTTTTAAATGGCTGTACCTAATATGTCTAGAAGGTACAGAAAATTCTCCCCCAAAATAATTCTGGCCAGTTCTTTTTTAAATAGTTTTGAGATAAAGTTAAGTTCTTAGGTACCCTCCCCTTCCAAATATGTTTTTGACCTTCACAAGTCTGACTGCCTTTATCTCTAGGCATAAGTATGAAGAATTACAGCCTCACCCAGCCCTAGGGAATAACTGGCTCTCCGCACATGCTCCTTCTTCTGCTTGGAATCCGGTTCCCTCCCCATGCCCACCCACCCAACCTCCCGGACCAGTGGCAAACCACCTCTGCACAGGCCCAAAGAGGAGTTGGCCTGTGCTCCGACCCCCTAAGTCCTCTCCCCAGTTACCCTCACCCTGCACTGAAAACACTGCTCAAAATACCAGTCTCCTCTCGGAGGCCTTCCTCCTTGAGCACAGGGCTGTACCTGCCTTGTTCATCTGTTTCTTCAAGGCCCAGCCCACGTTGGACAAGGAGTGCAATGGAAGAAATGGGTAAGGTACTGGGATGGGGGAGGGAGAGGGAGGGAGGGGGAAGGGAGGCTGGGCGAGAGGAAAAACAAGCCGGAGAAAGACAAATACCATACAGTCTCACCTCCATGTGGAATCTAAGAAACCAAACTCACAGAAACACAGAGCACATTGGCAGTTGCCTGATGCGGGGGGGTCAGGGAGGGTAGGGGAAATGAGTGAAGGGGGGGTCAAAGGTACAAAATTCACAAATCCTGGGGATGAAATGTATAGCATGGTGACTACAGTTAACAATTCTGTGTTGTATATCTGAATGTTGCTTAGAGAGTAGATCTCAAAAGTTCTCATCACAAGAAAAAAACTCAAGTGAGGTGATGGATGTGAACTAAATTTATTGTGGTGATCATTTCACAATATATGCATATATCAAATCATTATGTTGTAAACCTTAAACTGAAACAATGCTATATGCCAATTAAACTGGAAAAAAAGAGGCTAGAAACCTTAAGTGGAAAAAAAAGAGATATAATAACACTAGAATTTAATCAAAAGTGTTTACCAATAATAAAATAACTTTTGAATCATATATTATATATATATGGCTTCTAAGAGCCAGACAATGAACTAAATTTATTATCATGTATGATCTTATTTAACTCCCTAAACAACCTTGTGGTGTAGATGCTGTTACAGGTGAAGCTCAGAAAGGTTAGTTACCTACATAAAGTATCTGTGAACACTGGGCTCCACCTCATGCTACTCGATAGGACCCTGGCCTTCTAGCAAGATTACAAGAACCACACTTTATTCAAGGTTTATAGCCTGCAGAGGCCCCAGCACTGGAATAAGCATACAGGAGGCGCCCACTAAAGCAGGGCTGCACGACGTGTTGCAGAGGTCACTGTTAGCCAGCTGGACAGCAGGCAGGGTGCAGGGCATGCTGTCAGTAGTTATTTGGGCATCATACAAGCAAATTCTGTTTCGCTGAAAACTTAACTTGACAATAATATAAAAATTAAGATAGCTAATTTAATTTTACACATTTCATTATGCAGATTAACTACTATAATAGAGATGTGTTATAAGTAAGATACTCAGAAACCCAAGAGAATGACTAATATCACTGGAGCAACAGTTAATATAAAAAAATTCCAGTACAACCAAAGGATTTGCCTGCTCCCATAGGGGAGATTTGGCCCCTTCTTTCTTGTTCAGAAATAGCAGATCATGTGCTTAACGCGCAAGCTAAAACTCCATCTATAATTAGATCTGCCTAAAAGTGAATAAAAGACATTCCAAGAAAGGTCTTTGGCAAAATAACATTAAAATGGCCATATGTTTAACTTGGCTTCCAGTTGCAAAATATCGCAATGTTATATGCTATTAATGTTGTAAACTTATATGGGTTTTCAACTGATCCAAAAGCTAACGAGAGAAAGTAAGTTCAATAAAAAAAGGAGGTGAAAGCTCAAGATACATGAAAAGAAGTACTCAAAATATTTATTTTTAAAAACAATCCAGGTGACTCTACCATCCATATTGTAACTTTCCTGTTTACAAACACTGGACTAATTTTCAGAAAGTCCTTAGGTTCCTGATATATTTTAAGGCAGCAGCACAGACATCTGGTTGACAGGACAGCCAAGTATACATTCCTGCAGTGCTTTCAGTCTCCCAGTCATTTTGTTTTCCGCCTGCAAAACTAACGGACAGAGAGCCCCGCAGAGCAGAGACTAAAAGGCCCCCCCACATACGGACGCCTTTATTTCTTTAATGAAATGCAGAGTGCAATGATCAGGGATTCTTATCCACAGTCCCTGAATATACCTCTCTACATTTACCTGTTATTTTTAATACCTTAATTATGCATGATTATAAACTCAACACATGCTTACTGTAGAAATTTTGGAAAATGCCAAATAGTATGAAAACTACCTGAAAGTTCCATTTCCAGGAGTGATAGAATAGCTAATTCCTGAAAATACTTCAGCTGAGAAAAACTAGAGAAGCTGAACCAAAAAAAAAAAAAAATCAAACAGCTAACAAAGCAAAGGATCATTACAAGGCAAAGATCCAGGAAAAAAAAAGAAGAAACTCAGAGAACCCATCTTTTCCCCAGAGCCTTATATCCATTCCAGAAAAAGGAGTGAGAAGCTGCTGAGCAGTGCTTTAGATTCATAGGGATAAGAGGAAAATTAGAGTCTGCCAAGGAGACAGTTCTTGGAATATCTAAAGATTATAGAGTATGCATGGACCAGAAACAGATCATTCTTACAGGGACAGCATCGAGCTTCTTCTCCAATCCTGACCGGATGAAGGCTGTGCGGGATCACTGATGCTTCAGCCGCCTTTCAGAAACAAAGGTAAATCCCCTCTGGAGAAACAATTATTTCACCCCTTACCTCATTTATCTCTACAATTTTTCATATACCATATCTGGCACTCAATAGAAAAATAACCAAGCTTCTAAGAAAAGAGAAAGGAAAGAAGGAAGGGAGGGAGGGACGGATGGAGGGAGGGAGGAGAAAGAGATCAAAACCCAGGGAAACGACAAACAAAAGAAATGGACCCAAAGGGGATTCAGATAATGGGGTGATCAGACACAAACTTTAAAATGATCATTAATATGTTTAAGCGAATGAAAGACAAGATGAAATTTTTTGCAAAGAGCTTGTAGTTTTTTAAAATGTGAATTGTAGAAGTAATAAAAGATGATCAACAGAAGAACACAACAGATGAAGGTAATAGAAAATTAGACAGAGCTGAAGAGAGAATTAGGGAATTTAAGAGCAGAAGAAAATATCCAGACTCAAATGCAGAGAGGCAAAAGAAAGAATAAAGAGAAAAATATATAGCACTGGGTAACAGGATCTAAGACGTACCTGAGTTCCTAGAGGGAGAAAAGAGAGAAAATGTGCCAGCAAGTACAGAGTGTATTGATTGCACAGGATTTCTGCAAAATCTAGAAACAGACAAATACACACAATGGTTTCAAGGACATCTTCAATCTGTAAAAACAAAAGTATATTAACTCTATTTTCATACTAATGGATACTCTATAGAATTAAGACCATCAACAATGAAAAGCAGTGGGGATACAAGTGAAAAACAGTATGTATAAGTTATATGCTTTCACAAGGGGGAAAAGTGAGAAGATAAACAGAAAAATAGGGTAAGTTCACGGACTGATTTATAGATAATAAGTGGTAATGGGTGGGGTCAAAAGACATAATTAGGATGGACAAACCAAATAGTTGAAGTCTAAATAACATAAAAAGGGGAGACTAAGGACAGTATATGAAGGGGTATAGTGTATAAATACAAATTTTATATAAATATTAAGTAAAAAAGTACCCCAAAATTATTTAAAAATGCAAACCTTCCTAAATGTCAAATGAAAAAACAAAAAGGAAAAATAAAACAGACAACATGGTAGGACAACTCAAGGAAAGATAACATATTTTACAGGATTAATATACATTAAATAATATGACAGAGGTGGAGAGTTTAGAGTTTGGTCATAGGAATAAGTTAAAAGAGTATAACTCTCTAATTAGATGAAAAATAGTTCAAGACTAACTCAAAAAGCCAAGTCGAATTCTAGGCTGCATGTAAGAGACATGCCTATAAGAAAACGATTAGTTAAGTTAATAACAGAGAACACACAAACAGAAAAAAAGCAGGTGCTCTGTTCTTGATATATGACAAGGCAGAACTCTGGCAAAAGACAAAAAAGCATTAAGACAGGAAGGACAGCTTATAGTGCTAAAAGATCAAATTTAGAATAAAGATTAAATGTTGATACCTAGTTCCAAATGTTGCAAGAGCACTCGTAGACAGTAACTACAGAGAAGCGAAGAGAGAGAGCTAGGAACCGGCTCATAAACAGAACATGCTGCTCTCAGCTAAATACGGGTCAGGTGAGTAACAGGTCCAAAAGAAAACCTGAGCGGCCCACTAAGTAAGGCGCACATGAGACTCAGATCCCCACGGCAAAGACAGCGTGTGCCTTCAAAACGGTCTTCCAACCCAGCTGCATTTCAGGCCACAAAGCGAAGCTCAGTAAATCCCACAAAGCAGAATTAATACAAACAGTATTTCCTCTTTGTAATGAAACAAAACTCAAAATTAATAACAAAACGTCCCTTCCACCAGACAATTAGAAAAACCTGTCAGTTAAAAACTCTAGGGTCAAAGGTTAAAAACAAACCTAAACTGTAGACTTTCTTTAAAAAGTGATAATTATGGAAAAGCCACAGTGAAATCAATGGGATAAAATTAAAGCAATAATCAGAAGAAAGTTCATAGTTTAATGACTACATTGCTTAAAAAGAGACAATAAAAAGAAGTAGATTAAATATTCTACCTAGTAAATCAAAAAATAATAATAATGAAGTATTCTAAAAGAAGGCAGAAAGAAGGAAATAATATAAAGATAAAAGCCAAAATTAATCAGTTGGGGAAAAAAAAACAATGGAACTAATACATAAATTTAAATGCCAGTTATTTGAAAAAAGAAAAAAACCACAAGCTAACTAACAATGAAAAAGGGGGAAAACACAAACACAAAATAAGAAATGACAAGGGTGAAATAGCCATTAAAAAAAAAGGATTTTTTAAAACAAGAAACTGCTTTGCAAAACTGTGCAAATAAATTCGAAAACTTCAAAATAGTGAGAACTTCCTAGGAAAATCTGACTTATTAAAATTAATCCCCATAGAGACAGAAAGTTTAAGTATCCCATTTTATAGCTGAAATAATACAAAGTTATCACACAACTAAATCCCAAAGAGCCTCAGGCCCCAGTGTGGATTCACAGGGAATTCCATCAAACTTTCAAAGGCCAGGTAATTCCAATGCTGTTCAATTTGTTCAAGATACAGAAAAAGAGAAAAACTCTCAAGTTATGTTTATGAAATAAAATATTGCTACTCACCAAAGAAGTGTGTATCATCGGCCCTGAAGTCCGGCAGTTGCTCCTACAGGGCAGGGCATTAATGTGCTAAGCAACGCAGTCACCAAAGAAATATTTAGAAGCTTAGGAGTTAGAAAACAAGTAATAAAACTACCTCTATTTTCAGATGATGAGAGTCTATCTGGAAAGCTTAAGAGAACCAATGATAAAACTAATATAAATGATAAAAGAACTCATCAATGTATCTGGGCAAAAGTAATACACCTTTACAGACAGACAGTCATCAGAAAAACAGAATGCAAGGGGAGATTACAATAACAGTAAAAAAGATAAAATGCTCAGGAAAATGTAACCAAGAAATGTGGTAAACCTATATGAGGGAAACTGAAAAATTCTCCTGAAAGACGCGAAGTAGACTTGGGAATAAATGGCAAGGTCTGCTGCTCTTGGGATGAAGCCAAGGACGGGCAGAACTGCAAGGCAGAGAGGTCGCTGTTGGTAAGGCCACGAGAGGCCCCCCCGTATGTCTTGTGAGATAAGACAGAGGCGTGGTATTGGCGGCAACCAGGGTTTTCAACAGATGGAAGAGCAACACGATTAAGCAAGAACCCCGTGGACCTGAGTTTAAAGTGGAGCAATAGGAAAGGCGCCATGGTGTATGTCAGCCCAGCCCCTTCCTGGTTCACGGGGACCAGGGCCAGCGCACGACGATGCCGCACACCGAATGAGCCGGGGCGCCCTCAGAAAAGAAAGGGGCCGCATTGCACAGGAAGTGCAGTGCCCAACCACGCTGGAATAGCAGGGTGAGCAGAGGGCAGGCCTGGCTGGCCGAGGGAACTCGCTCGCTCAGAGCACTCTCCCTGACCCAGCATTTACATCCCTGCAGGGCCCCCAGGAGACGGGGCTGGTGTGCCTTTGCGTCGGGCTCGTGGCAGCTTGGAGAGAGCAGTGGCCACACTAAACGCAGGAGAAACCTGGAAGAAGGAATGAAGAGCCCCAGAGAAACGGGCGCCCTGGAGGGGCTCTGCTACACGCGAGGCCAGAAGCCTGCCAGGCGACCGGGCCCCGTGGGAAGGGCCAGAGGACAGCCACTTGCCAGAATGTTTTGGAATGCAGTGACACAGGGGCATCGGCTTCACTGGAAGCTCAGGGGAGACGGGCAGCAGGGAGGCGATGGCATTACAGAATGGGGTTCCCAGAGGCACAAAGAAGTAACAGACGCCAGGTGGGGCACCTGACCCTCCAGGCCAGGGGGAGGGGGACACCCAAATTTTTAGGAGATTGTTGGACACTGTCAGTATCGGCATTGACACCTGGACCGGAAGCATAATCGTCTGCTAGACTGGGATGTGTAAGGGCCATGAAATGATGAAGGTAGCCTGGCCCCAGTGTGGATCGAATGGGGTCACTGAGCTCAAAGCCCACCTGAAAGTTGCCTCCCTCATCCCCAAATGTGTAAGTGCAATGGCCACACTTGGTAATGGTCAGACTCAGTGATGTGGGTCCTGCACTACCTCACCTTGGACCCAGGAATGCTTTTTACAGTGAATCTGGGTCAGCACAGGTGTGTGTTCATGGGACGCCTGGTCCCATCACATGTCACAGTCCTCAGAGCTGCCCGCCTGCAAGAGTAATGGCACAGCTGGCGGAAAGCGTGGCTGGGAGATTGATTCCGCAGCCTCCGCAGTGCAGTCCGCGCTCCAAATCACACCTACTACGTGGAGCACCGCGCTCGGTGGGTGGAAAGCTGGGCCAGGAACCAGGCAGTGGCCTGCTTAGGGTGTGTGTTTCCATACTTACAGGTCAAGGGGCAGAGGTGGGGGAGAGAGAGACCGAGGCACAGGGAGGGAGGGAGGGAGGGGGGACAGAGATGGGAGAAGAGCAAGAGGGAGGAAGGAAGGGAAGGAAGAAGGGAGATGTGATCGAAATGTTCACCATCAGTGTGGTGAAGGTACAAGGTTGTTCAATGTCTTGTTCTTCCAACTCTCAGAAGATACGAAATTTTTCAAAATAAGAAGTTGCGAATCGAAAGCAGTGGGACAGCACTGAAACGCAGCGACTGGATTGGACGTGCATTTTGGAAAGAGAACTCTGACTGCAAGAGCAGGGGGTCGGTCAGGGGCCAGCACAGAGGGGGCCGGTCAGGGGCAAGCACGGAGGGGGCAGTTTGGATGGTGGGGGGATCTAGAATGACCTGGAAGGAAAGGCATTAGGACTTAGACGTCTGGAGACGGGGGTCAGGGGGACACCCAAGGCCAGCCAGCAGCATGACCCCTGACCCCCACTCCCACCGGGCTCCCATGAAGCCCCAGGCCACCTCAGCTGGAGTGGCCGGGTGGCGACCGCACCGAGGGGCTGCAGTGTCCAGTCTCAGAGCCAGCAGTCCTAATGGGTCTCTGGCCCCGGCCTCGCTTTCTGGGCCGGCTGCATGTCCCCTGTGGCCTGCGGGTGGGCCAGAGTCCTCCAGGTTTGCCCGGGGCCTTTAGGAGAAGGGCGCCAGCAGCTCACATGGAAGGCTGGGAGGCCTGGGAGGCCAGCCCACCAACGTGGCCTCCATCCTGTGGCCGCGAGAAGTTTCCAGCAAAAGGTGATTTTGTAAGTCAGAGTCGGCAGGCTGCCCAGCGACAGCTGTGGGTGACGGGGTGATGCAGGCACGCGGCATGAGGGCGCGACAGGCCGCAAACAGGAGTGTGGACACGAAGGGCCATGGGCAGGGAGTGCGCTGCCAGGAGACCCGCCCTTCCACAGCGGGCAACAGTGTCCCCGGGGAGGATAGCAGCTGGGGCCGAGCGGCCCACCAGGAAGGCCGCTCAGCCCTCAGGGAGAGTTGCCAACAGGCGGCTGGTGGAGGGTCTGAATCCCAGGAAATGGCCAGGGCTAGAGACCACTGCCCGGGGCTGCCGCCGCCCGGAGCCAGGGCCCTGCCACACCGCCTGGGGGGAGTGGGACCTCCGCAGGTCTCTCCCTCCTGCAGGAGCCGGGGCCCAGCGCAGCCTTAGCCTTCCGGGCCAGCGGCTGCGCTGGGGGCACCTGTGTCTCCCCAGCAGCGGTTTCCTGGGAGCTTCACTCTCTTCTCCCCACCAGGCTGTTTTCCCTGCAGACCCACTGGGAGATTTTTGTTGTTGTTACACTATTACCAATTTATCTTATTTTTGCAGGAACAGAATCCAATTGAAACCAGACTTTGGACGAAATACACAGGTGGCTCTCAGCCTCCCTCTCACCTCCTGAAACTCTTACTGTCCCCTCCTGACTGTCCATGGTCAGTCCCCAGAGGTCCCTGGTCCCCAGCCCCATGCCAGGGCTCAGTGCCCCTCAGCCACGGGGACAGGTGTGAAGCACCCAGTGCATCTCCGCCAGCTGCTGCTGCAGCTGATGTAAAATTTTCCTCCTTTCTGAGATCCAGCTCCCTCCAAGGTCCTTGAGTCCCTGAGGACTAATGTCACTCTGGAAAAGGACACATAGCTGCCGACCTGTGTCACCTGCTGTCTGTGCACTGTGGCAGCCTGCTGTTCACAAGGTCTAAAGGAGTGTAACGCGCTTTGTAAAATGCCACATCCGGACAGAGCCCCACATGCTGGGCCTCTAGTTGGAGGAACACGTCCAGGTGACTGGAGCAGGGCCATGCTCGGAAGCAGCTGGGCGATGACAGACTGCGATTCCTGTTGGTTAACGCACCGCCCTGCTGCTCCCGGTGACCCACAGAAGGCATAGATGGATCATTTAAGGTACAACGCAGCAGGGTTCAAGGTGCTTGCAAAACCTTTCATATATTTTTCCTTCTAGGATATATCCACTGAGAAAGTTCTGGCGACCACGTGCAAAGCTAAGGGAGGTTAAGGGCAGCCTGCGAGTCATCTGGGAAGGCACTGCAGTCCCTGCCCCTCACCTGCGCAGGCTGTGTGGGCCAGAGGCTGATGGCGCTCAGGAGAGGGTGTGCTCAGGCGGGACACCCAGGCTGCGGGAGGAGAACATGCGGCCGCACGGGGGCTCCTTCCAGGCAGGTTCCCCAATGGGGCCCCGAGACCAGGTTCCCTGAGACTGGCTCCCAGGAGAGAGCACTGGGGACGGAGGAACAGGGAGGAGAAAGGCAGGCATGTGTGATTGCGGGCCGTGCAGCCAGGCGGGTCCCGAGGAAGCTCTGGGCACAGATGCCCTGTGCCCACACCGCCGGTGGCAGAGGCCAGGGAGCTGAGCCCATGCTGAGGCCCGGCAGGACGTCCCCAGGTCGCTGACAGGACAGGCAGGGAGACTGGTTGGTACGACATTGATGAAATTTGGCAATAGCTGCGTTAACAAGGCCCTGGACCATTTGGGAGAAAGACCTGGGACACTGTGGGATCCATCAGCTCTTGGGGTGCCCTCTGCCTGGACTGCCCCCACCTGCCAACTCAGGTCTGTCATCACACCCTGCCCGCCCATCTTTTGGGCACCTGAGGTCTCACAGTTTGAAGCCATGTCTTGCTCTCCCCAGGGCCAGCGCCCCCTGAGGGCTCTGCCTCAGCAGGGGACACCCCTTCTGCTGAGCCCCCCAGGTGCTGACGGGCCAGCCCGGGACCCCAGGACAGTAGGGGTTGTGACTAGCTGGAGTGGAAGCTTAGGACACTGACCAGCAAAGAAAGCAATCCTCTCCCAGGGGCCCCAGAGGCTCAGCCCACAACCCCAATGCCATGAGGCAGCAGGGGTGGGGAGGGCTGGGCACGGGGAAGAGTGACAGAGCTGTGGCCTCGGAGGCTGCTGGGAGTCAGAGGAGGTGAGAAGGAGCTGGGGAAGGAGAGATGAGTCAGAGAAATGATCGTGCAACTCCGTCCCCAGACTTGTCAAGCAGACATTGCCACCCCACCTAGCTTCCCACTGTGCTTGGGGACCACATTTGTGATTCTGTTAGCCATTCCTGGTTTTAATAATATACTGTAGCTATGCAAGATGCCACCATTGTGCAAAGCTGGGGGCAGGTCCTCAGAACCTCTGTGTGTGATTTTTCTAACTTCCTGTGAGTCTGTAATGAAGTCAAAATTTTAAATTTTTTTAATTCAGTAGGTAGAGATTCAATTCATTTAGCAAAGCACCTCATTTACCAGTGCAAATCCCTCCATGATTATTAGGGATTCATCAGACATTTACACACTAGTGTGAATTTATTTACGTAAGATTATTTCCTTGTGCTTGGCTGTCATTTGATAAGGAGCAGACAGATGGATGTGAGACAAGTCCTGCTTGAGGAAGGGACAGCTTGGGGACAAGGCTGAGCTAGGAAGGACATTCTCTCTCCTTTCCCATGTCCCCAGTCTCCATGTGGCTGCGCAGCTCTGGGCAGAAATGAGCCGGCACCGGAGGAGCTGGGCCCTCCGCAGTGGGACAGCAGTCACCTTCACGGGCGGTCTGGAGCAGCAGCCAAACCATTCGTCCCACCCAGTTTGACCAGAGGCAGTGAAATCTCATTCCTGACAAACGGCTGTGCTTGGGGGAAGCAGCCCTGGGCCACTGGGGATGGTTTATTCTCTGCATCTTCTTAGTTTGTCAGACTCAGACGCACAGCTCTGGGCCACCCCGGGGACCTTGGTTCAGCCTTCCAGCATTCAGAGCAAGCCTGATGAAACACGATTTTCTTCGGCTTGCAGAGGGAAGAGGCCTGGGTTAAGTTTTTTTAAATTTATTTCAAATGCATCTATTGTAAGAGTTAAGCAATTTTTATTTCCAGCTTTAGAATAATTTTTAATGTTTGAGGCTGTGTGTCTGGGTAAAGAATATATTTCCTTCTTTGTTACATTCTCGCAGTCCATTGAAAAGCTAAGAAAAAGCCAACTGACAAAATCCCAAAGTTTACCACCCACAATGCAGAGGCCCAGCAATGTGCTCATGGGGCCATTCATGTCCCAGGGGGTGATGCTCAAAGGAGCAGAAGCAACCAGGCCCGCTCCACCATGGCTGACGCACACAGGCCAAATTAGAGCCGAACTCCGTGCACCGAGGCCTGCTGCTGGCACACGCATCTCTACCCCATTGGGCTGCGCCTCACCTGTGGGCCATCTCGGCAGCCCTGGGGAGCAGGCACACGCTGCAGAATGGAGTCAGGACACGTGCTCTGCGATTCTATGGGGCTCCCAGCAGACCAGGAGGAAAGTGCAGTATGTGTCCAAAAGCAGAAATGTCCTTCTTCCTAGAATTATGTTTCTGAGCCACAGGTCAACAT